CGCTTCTCTTTTCGGGTCGCGGAGGCAGATGTGTCAGACAAATCTTCCAACATTTCTGATACTCTGCCAGAGTCTGAGCTTCAGGAAAAAAAGGCAGCCTGGAACAGACTCCTTCCATATATTTGGACCAGGTTAACCTTGGCCCTTGGCCGTCCCCTCAGCCTCCTGCCGGTCGGAGTTGCAAGGAACAGTTGCTTAGCCTACCTTTCTGGAGGCATTCGCAACACATTGCCAAACCATCTCAGCTGCGACCTCTCAATCTGCAGAAGCAAAGGCTGCACAAAAAGACTCTAACGGATGTCACTTCTCTGGACCATTTAAGAGACCAGAGACACGTCTAAAAAGCACATTTCTGACGCTTGTACCCGGGATCGAACCTTTTCAGTCATGGTCCACGACTCATGACCGTAGATCAACATGGGGAAAAAGATCGATATGAACACGGAGACCTTAGTTTACAGGCTGAGAACTGCTTTAGTCACAATGGGTCGGGATAATTCACGCAAAATGCCACCGGCTACTTCAATTCACCGGTCGATATCTTCCTCCAATTTTCCGTCACCAGCAAATACAATTTTGAGGCACTTGAACTTCACCATCTGCATCAAGGCCTCTCTGTTAATTTAAAGAGAGCAACGGGCATGAGAACGAGAAAGCACTAGGGCTTTTAGTTTCAGGTGCGTTCACATGCATGAAGGTCAGGTCGCACTCGGGTGGAAACCTTTCTATGGAGCACTGAAGATTAGTTTCAGAATATGCTAATAAAACAAGGTCGTCTGCAAACAACAACCTTTTCATCTTCAGTACTCCTACAAAGACACAATCACCGCCTTAGCAGCTCCTGACTATTTTATCCATGTACAACACAAACAGAAAAGGGGAGAGGACGCAGCCTTGGTGGAGACCAGTGTCATAGATTTTGAACGATTCTGACTTATAACCATTTACTCTGACGCAGCACCGGCTATCAGAATATAGTGATCGGATCGTCCTTAGCAACTGGCCATCTATCCCGCATGCTCGAATGCATGACCACAGACTCATGCATTGGATCCGGTCATAGGCTTCTTCTAGGTCAACAAAACACATGTACACCCCACGGGCGTATTCCCATGATTTCTCAAAAATCGGGTGCAGGGCAAATATATGGCCAGAGATGCTTCCACCAGGCAGGAAGTCAAACTGCTCTTCTTGTATCTTGGAGTCAGAAATTATTCCATGGCACTTCCTTTCTAGCACCTGGGTAGACTCTACCTGGAGGCTCAATAACGTAATGCCGCTAAAATTGGAGCATAACTTGTGGTCTTCTTGATACAGGTACAATAACTCCCGTTCACCAGTCCGCTGGTGTCCTTCCCGTAGTAATCGTAGTTTGACAGACAGCTGTGAGCCAGCAGATGCCCTTTTCATCTAATGCCTTGAGCATCTCAGGGCGGATTTTATCCATTCTAGCACCCTTTCCATCTTTCAAGCTTCTCACAGTTTGTGTATTTTCATCTACAGACACAATAATATCTCTTCCCTGCTGCGATACAAGCAAGTAATAAAGCGGTTGCGCGGGGTTAAGGAGTTTCTCAAAGTACTACCTCCACCGCCGAAGAATGTCATCATCCTTGGTAAGAGGGTGTCCAAGACTTTAGGCCGCCCTTCTTTTCGCGCCGGAGCCGGCGGATGGCCTGCCAGAATACTTTGTTTGCTGTGTGGAAATTTGACTCCAACACCTTTACAAAATTGTCCCAGGATCAACTCTGGCTTTCGCCACTTCTATGGCTGCCGCTTTGCGTGCCTCGACATGGAGTAGAAGGATCTTTGTTTCCAAGCCATTTCTTGAACACTGCTTTCTACTCTTAGCAGCCTGTTGTACCTCTCATGTACACCATGAAGATCTTTTCTGATCTCCAGGCGGCAGGCCAACCCGTTTAAATCAGCCCAATTCGGCGGAAGCCTCAAGTATGCCCTCTTAAAGATCTGTCATTCGGTTTCCACATCAGCTGCCATCACCGGAAACTGTTCAAACCGTCGTGCGATGTTGTTTTCAAATTTCGCTCTCTTGTTTACCGAAGATAATGTTTCCGATTTAATTCTCCGCTTGCTTCTGCCACCAAATCTTCGTATGGTACTTCAGCGTGCCATTAACAAGGTGATGATCGGCTGATAGCTCTGCGCCTCTTTTAACACGAACATCCATTACTGAGCGTTTTAGGTCAGACGATACGATTATCCAATTCGATCATCGACTTATGTGCACAAGCTTTCCAGTACCAGGTGTACTGATGCACTTTACGATGCTCGAAGAAGGTGTTCATAATGGACAATCCGTTGTTTGTATGAAACTGCAACAACTTCATGCTTTTATTGTTGAGGTCAATAGGGCCGTTTTTCTCAATCACGCCGTTCCACTTTTCAGCGTCTCCTCTGACGTGCGCATTAAAATCGTCCTTCAGTATGAGGGACTCTGTATTCGGTACTTCGGACAGAGCGCACTGCACTTCCTCAAGGAAGGTCTCATATTCTCCTTCCAAATTGGGTGCATAGACTTGTACCAAGGTCATCGATTTAGCCTGTTGTAGCTTCAGTCTAAGGATTACCACCCTTCCGCTGATAGGCTTCCAATCGATTATTCTATCGGCGAGGTTGGGTTCTACCAGAA